CTTACATTGTCAGTACAATACAAACTTCAATAGATACACCTTATTCTTACTCATTCATTCTTATATGGGGCACAAACAATATGAAAAATGAATCCAGAAATTAATCTCCAAATTGCATTTTATTTGACTGTTCTTTCTCTGTTCATTTCAAATCTTTCATCAGAATTATGAAACAAGTAATAAAACTGATGGAAGCTACATGACTCTAATTGTTTCCTTCTTCTCTGGAGGGAGAATTGGGAAGGAGTGCAAATAAAACTGAAATAAAGGCTTCGTGGAGAGCCCACACAGATGCAGGGTGATCCTCTTTAATGGAGAGCTGTCATAATTTCCAATGTAGTTAAGTATTTTTTCTTGGCATAAAATTATGGAATATTTGAGTTGGAAGTGACCTTGGAGATCATATACTCTAGCTTCTTCATTGTACACAGAGGGAAATTCCTTTAGCACTAACCACAATGAGTTCTCATGATGTAAGTGATTGCTGATTTGGTAAAAGAATCTAACTCCTGCTCCTGGACCATAGGAGAACCAGTTCTCCTATGCCATGCTGCCACTTGCCAGGAAAGGAAAAGGAAAGATAATATGCAGCCTTTTGAATGAGAAGTCAGATCTTGGGCATTTTTGAACAGCAAATATTTCCTCACTATTCCAATGAAAGGCAAGACTGGGATCTGGAATCCTATGGCTGTTAAAAGTCAGCAATGATGTGTATTAACATACAGTTCATTACTGAGGTAGGATATGATCAAAGGTTTATAGCACAAATTCCTTTTTTCTAAAATTATGCACCTATCTGAGAAAACCTCATTTTCATAAGCATCAGATTTATTGTATTCACTTTTATAAATAAATAAGTGTATTTTAAGAGGGTAGTTTCATTTCTCTTTATGTCTCATATACTTATAGTTTTTTTCAGTTGTTTTTCAACTAGCATTAGAAAAAAAGCAATCACTTGTGTTTTCCCATTTTTTAAGCCGTAACTATCAGTTGTGTCCCTTGCATCGGGAACTATGTGTGTGTGTGAAATAAACTGGGTATGCATAGATGAAGAAACTGGGGGTGGAGGGAGGAAGAGCATATTATGTTCTAAAAGAGTCAACAATCCTGATGGCTAGAACACAGGAATTATAGACAGAATTAAGAAGACATGGAGAGGGTATGCTGTGGTAGGAGAGAGTTGGAAAAGATTTGGGACCCTGAAGCCTTGTGCTCCAATTAAAGGAGTTTGGACCTTATGCAGGGAGCCACTGGAAGTTTGTACCAGGGAGTGTCTTAGATGAAAAGAGGAAGAAAGTTGTCTTCCAACCTTTTGAAGAAGACAAGGCCCTAAAAATACTTAATGAAAGGCCTGGGAATTCCCAGTATCTCCCAGTGGGAAGAATCTCCTGAAGATTCTTTATGGAAGACAACTGCTAACACCTGAGCTTTAACTTAGTGCAGAAACTAACCTGTAAGGGAGGTAGTCACATCTGGGAAATTCCTGATGATAAGAGAGTCCCTGAGCCTGTACCTTCTCTCACCCCACTTCACCTGGCTTCATACTGTATGAAACATGTGCAGGTAGCAAACCAAAGAGTGAATAATTATACAATTGAATAAAAACTAGAAATGAAGTGTACCTAATATAAAGATGAAAATAAGATTTAAGTAAGTATAAACTAAGAAGAATTATTTGGTACCATTCCAGAAACTCTTAATGAGTAATGCTTTGATCCATAATTCTATGCTGTTTTAGCACTTTGACCTAATTTGGTTTTTATACTGTGCCTAATTATTCCTATACAAAGCTTTATTGTTGACCCTAGACACTTTTGTAAATAGTGTGAAAGTCTCAAAGGTTTTAATTATCTCAGTTAAATAAGAGTTACCAGTATTTCTAACACTAGTACTTGAATTCTAATTTTCTTCCCAAATTGGGCTTTCGATTTTTCTTCATTGAATCTCTCTTGAATTCATCGTTATAGGTGATGATCTGTAAATTGTATCTTTATGAGACTATGTGCTGGGATTTAGTATCTATTCAAAAAAGATGAAATGATTTTAGGAAGTAGTTAGATAATTAAGCTGGTTTTGGTAACGTATTCTAAAACCTAATGGACATCATTAAAAATAAACTAAGAAAATCAAATTTCTCATCATTTTTCTCAAATTCACAGAATGATCATTTTGCTATATGCTCAAGAGGTTTTAAATGATAATGTAAAATCTCTTATTACAAATTCTAGGATTACTGAAAAATAAAAACCATAGATTTCTCATTATTATTCCTTTCCTCAAATTCAGAAAATGATCATGTTATTAATATGCCCAATAGCTTTTAAATGATGATAGGAAGTACTTTATTACTAATTTTTAGGATTACTTAAATCACATCTACCATTAAAATTTATAGGAAAACTCAGGCTACCTCTTACAATATACCATTTCAGCTAAGTAGGTTGGATATTGAAAACATTGAAATCTGCTGGTATATGTTCTTGCAAACACGCAAGTAACTATAGTGAATAAAATCACAATTATATTGTTCTTTGAATAGAGATGTCCAGTGGACTATTTGCAAAATACCTAAATTTCCCAACTAAAAGATATAGTATCAAGCACATGAACAAAACAATTCCTGTAATGTTCTATAAAGGAAAGAAAAGGCAAAGGTTTTTACACAATTTTAAAAATATAATCTATAAGGAAGCTAAGTTAAATGTCAAAAAAATAATCTATGTAGGAGAAAAATCCACATGCTTATAAAGAGAAGCAGTGTGGGCTGGGACACCTCCTTTGAGGCCAAACATCCCTAAAATACATGAAGAGAATGCCGCTGTGCTCCCTTCTTTTTCATCAAGGGGGGAGTCTGCCATTCACCATCTTAATGAATCCATAACAGGTGTAACATACATGATCCAGATGCCAGTGGATTAGGCAAACCCCTGTCATACCTGGTCTAAGATCTGGTGGAGTCTGACTGAACTGCAGTGTCTTCTTTCTTTTAGGCATTTGATGATATGGCTGGGTCTGTCTCAGGATTCCTTTGATCTAATCCCACAACATGTCTAGGTCCTCTGATGACAGTGGCTAAATCTCTAAATCTATCTTAAGTTGTATATATTAAACCTAATCTCTTCATGTCTCTTTTTACACTGTGGTTTGCTGTCAACCAGCTAGAATAATTCTACCTCTCAGTATTCTCACCTCCAGTTTAAAGTGGCTTTTTCCTGACATTGACAGCCTGAGCCAAGCTGAGACTGCCCACCATTCTTCCTTTCACTAGACCACCAGGGCTTGGTGGGGAGGAGAAGCATTAAGACTCAGTCATAACCCTCACTCACCTCTCCTTGTTGACACCAAGGGTGAAAATGAAACAGAGCATTTTCTAGTTATCTAAAAGTTTTTATTCACCCAAAACTCTAGAAGAAATCATAACTTGTACATTACAGCATTCTGAAAAACTGTCAAAGGGTTATAAATTACATTTAATTTTGACTATATACAAAGGTTTTTTCGTCCCTAAAGGCAAACCAACACAAAAATGTGTTTTGGGGACTACTTTACTTCTATGCTGACTGTATATTAATAATACAATATATCACTTTTATTAATCTTTTTGTAATGAACAGAATTTTTAAAGCAGAAGATAAGGTAGGCTTGTCACAAGAAAATGAAACATTCTATATTTCAGGCTATTACTTTTGTTCTTGCTTTACAATTACAAAATAGACATTTTGTCAAATGTCCAGAGACTCCCTGGTTTGACAAATGATATTTTACTGCCTGTCCTTCTCTAAGACACTTTTACCATTTCTATTGTTCTAAAATATGTCATTCATAAGGGAGAACTCTAATAAAAAAATGTGTCACACAAAATAAATAACAAAACCTCCAATTCTAAACTAGCTTAAACATATAAAGCTTCATGACAACCTGTCAATTTCACTATCATTGATGGTTTTGTTACAAGTTCTTGTAGTGTTTTGTGGTGAATTGAAGATTAGATTGCTTATTTGACTGGCTCTCTCTTTGTCTCTTTTCCCTTCTCCCCTTTCCTTCTCCCTCCAATATGCACACAAAAAAGGCAATTAAGCACCATTATAATTCTAATTATCTCATAGCTATAAAAAGAAATGACATGTATTTCACTCTGCAAATTTGATGGTATAAGCACATACAGGATAAAAGTTCCACATCAAGCAAGCTTTTTCTCTGTTGAAAGTGGGTCAGGTAACAAAAAGATAAATACAACGCAGAAATTAAACTAATGGCATAAGATTAATCAAAATGCAATCATTGCATACTAAATCCACGAGGGCAGGGGATTCACAGCACATACATTCACTGGAAAATATCTGAAAAATGGCTCTCTGAGAAGACCATAAGCTCCTCACCAAGTCATCATTGCTGAGTAATGGAAGCAACCTAGGACTTAAAAATGTCTCTTCCCAGAAAAACTTACCCTCTGGATTCTCTAATAAAATGTTAATTTAAAGCAAGATTTTTCACTATCAGATAACAGTGATAAATGAGAATAAGAAAAACATATATTGAGCTTGGAAATTTCCACACGAAAATAACAATTTCTATCTACATTAACCCCACACGCTCCCTTTCTGGTGGTATTCTTGGTTTGTCTGACTTCTTAACCTCTAAGTGTCTGACGGCCTGACTTTTGTTTTGTATTGTCCGGATTTAGATGAAGAGGAAATTAATTTCTTAAGACTTCTCTTTAATCCTCTGCCTTTCTTTATCTGCTCTGTAACAGCTTTACAATGAGCCTACCGCAACAGCTGCTTTGCAGTGGGTAACCTGTCTCTCGGTGACATTATCTGGACTGCTTGACTTAAGCAAACTAATTCATCTCTGCACCACAGAGGCAGGTTTTTCCCCTTCCTATTGATCAGTAATTCATTCTTATTCAACCAACATGCAGACTTGCTACCAAAGTGTGCATTCTTTTATCCACATTAGCTTTTTAAGGCATTATCAACTTCATGGAAAGATCAACTTACCTGGCACACACCATCTCCTGGACCTGCCGCTCCCAATAGGCTCCCCTCAGCCTTTTCTGTTGTATAGTATTTAATCTCTGTTGTGGCCTTAATGATTCCATCACAGTAAACATTGACATTGACAGAGCCAGCAGGAAAATCTTATAAAATACAAAAAACAGAGGTAGGAACTGAGTATATAATGCACATCTCACAATATTATATCTCTTGGAGAATATGAGGGAAGACTTTAAGATTTTATAACAATTTTACTAATTTCTAGCACATATGTTTTCTTTTTTGTACTTAGAAGTTAGAAATCACAAAACAGAATGTATAATTTTAGACTTGTTAAAAAAAAACTTAGAAGATAACAACGCATGGTAAAATTATAATAAAAGCAAAGCACTAAGTCCTTTCTCCCTAACTACTAACTTCCATTAAAAAAATCTATAATAATCTTTACATATAGCTTTATAATTTAGAACAGTAAAGTTGCTCATAAAAAGTTAGGTGTTTGTTTCTACTCTTATGAAGAAAACTCCTATAAATTATAGGCAAGTTTCTCAAAATTGTGTTTGAAGAGAGAAAATGTAGAGTCAATCAAAATTATAGAACTTCTATTCAATTCATTACAATGAAAAACCTTTGGAAATTTGAGATTTAATGCCCTGCTATTTAAGTCTAGTTACACCATACATTTATCCAAAGCCTTTTGTGAACAAGCTGTTTAAAGTGACTGACATACTTCATTGTGAATTCTGCTCTAACATAAAAACATTTAAAGTTACCTAAGAATTTTGGGCTTCCCGTGAAAGAATAACAATAAACAGTCATTTCAATAGAAAAGCCATTGTGTTTTACTGTAACCAAAGCAAACAACATTTATCTTTTCATTTGTTTTCAGACACCCTTTAAAAACATTCACTCTTTGTTCTGGAGATATTTTTTAAATTATCCTGGAAAATTGTCACCTAACCAACTGGGGTTTTGAATAAGCCATTAAAAGACTAAAAAGCTAGTTTTAACCCTAACATCCTAATGAAGCTTTGAATATTTAAAATTTCTTAAGGTTTAAGCATTAATTTTACTTTATCAGCTGAAGAGGTTAAAGGACCTTATCATATTTATTGCTTCATGTAATCTAAAGCCAACAAAAGCAATCTTAAGTTTAACTCGATGAAGGGGCTGAAATTTCCTGTTACCATATTGCTTGACTAGACATTTAACCTCTATTATAAAGGAAATATAAGTAGAAAAGTTCTCTCTTTCCAAAATAAGTATCTATCCAGTAGAGAATGAAAGAGAAATCACAAGAAAAAAACTGAAGTTGTAAAGTACAACTCATCAGCCACACTATGCACATTTGGTAATGGGGGTTCTGGAGTTTTGGCAGTCAAATAAAGTTAATTTCAGTAAATTTCATAAGGATGATTTTGAATGAAGAAATTGATTTTGTTTATCAGAAAAGAGATTAGGAGTCTTACAATGCGGTGTTACCTTTCTGAAAGAAAGTTGGGTGATAAATCATAAGGGAGATGTGGTGAGATTTGCTTGGTTGTTCCTTGATATAGAATACTTAAAATATTCTAATTTCTTTAGAACAGAACATTAAAATGAGTTAATTTGTTTTTGATATCTGGAGCCATTAGTAGACTCAAAATTTTGGCATTAGATCTATTGATAATGATGCGGATTTTAAGGTAATCCTCCAAAGAGATGTCCTCTGAAGTACTGTCTTTGCTGTATACATTTTCATATCTTTTGAATGTCAGTGACTAAATAACACCTAATTACTGTTTCCAATCATATATCATGGAGGAGGAGTTATGGATTCCTCTGGTTGGGGGGCCCTCCTTCATAGCGTATTACTGAATTGGCATTTCTGTGAACAATACCTGTTATGGCCTGAGCATTATTTTACATTAACTGTGATCACTATGGTGTCTATATTTTATAGTTCTTCAATGAAAATAAAATCAATTACTTTAAGGACTCAAACAGAAAAAAGTAAAAGTGAATTCTGCTATTTATTATCTAGACTACAGTAGGCAAGTCACATTCGACACTGGAGGCACGTGCAAATATAGGTCAAAATCACCAAACCAAGCAAGGGTATAAGAGTCAGCTATGAAGAAGTAAAATGGTTTATATGAAAGAAAAAAAGTAGAACTCACTGTCCCCATCAGACATAGATACACAACAAAGTACACTTATAGAGGAGCAATGGACTATAACAAAATTCTATTTAAATTTCAGGTCTCAAGTTCTAGGCTCTTCAAGAGTCTTTGTCAATCTTTCCTCTCTCTGTGTTTTAAGTGGTCTGTCCTTTCAGATTAAGAAAAAACTAATTTATGGAAAATATAATCCAAAGGTATATCTTAAGAATTAGAATTATATTCACTAATTCCATAAAAAAGGATATTTCATAAATCCACTTATTTAAAAGCTTTTCACTTTCTGTATTTCCATTGTCTGAGAAGCTGTGTTCCTTTTTGCACCAATTTTATCCCTTTAACACATGGTAAACCTTAAATGAATCTACCAAATGTTTCCAGGGGAACTGAAATCAACATGACTCTTTTGATTGGAACAGCATTATTAAATAAATATCAGTAGCTTCAAAACCTACATCATGCCTAAAAATTAATATCAGTTTTGTATATGTTAAAATCATCTTCCTGAAGGTGGTTTAGAAAAAATTCTTAATGTTATTTTTCTAAGGAGGCTTGGATTAATATTTAGCACATGCTAAAGTATTTTTCATTCTTTTTAATGAAATATTAAGTTATAGTTTATATTATTTAGAACAGTTTTTCAATTAATAAAGAGAGTTATATCTTTGCGGATTCATTTTATATTCCTTTCAACTTTTAATTGGTGGTCCCCCTGCTGAGTAAAATATTTTTTCTGGCTGAGCTGCTGGTACCAGAGGACTACCCTCTTCCTTCGAAGTAAAAAGTAGTTAACATTTCTAGTTTAAAGCCTTGACATGTATTTTTATATCTTCTGGTATAAACTGGGACTACAGTAAATTTAAATTCCCTTAGCACAAAACAGTCTCTGCCAGAGACAAACCTATGGACACCATTGGGAAGATGTGGCTTTTAAAAAATGAAGTAATTATAAGTGTATCAAATTATGTAGCTGAAAGAGAGAAGGCAAAATGAGAAAATATTTTCTCAAGTTAAAAAATCAGGTTAATATTTGGAAATGAGTCAGAAGGGAAAGAGAGAACATTTATGAAAAGAGCATCTTAGGATTCCTTCCCTATGTGGCATATTGTACTTTAATATAATTTTGTTATTCTCTAAATTTTTACTAAGTTAGAAAGAAACATATATTTAAAAAGAACATTAATATGGCACAGTGTAGGGTTGGACAGAGAGAAACCTGAGAGTTTTATCTGAGAAGTGTAAGAAGGAGACCTGAGTATTTGATATGCCTCAATGCTGAGAGACGATTGACACACACATGCGCGCAAGCATACATTTAAATGGTTAGGAGGAGGTATCCAAACCAAAGAAACAGAGTAGTTGGTCTGAGGGGTACCCTTTTCTAACAGTAAATGCTAGCTGCCTACCCCAAGGCCTATTACCTTCTTCCTTTTAGAAACAGATTTTGATTTTCTTTTGTTGTCATAGGATGCACTTCTATCCAACTAAAAAGACTAGATTTTCTACTCTCCCTTTCAGCTAGATAGGACCTTGGGATTAAGTTCTGACTAATGAAGTATCAGCAGGTATGTCATACAGAAACTTTCTTACTTAATGAAACCTTCGTTTCCTGATCCCAGGGATGTGCTGAGAGACTTACTCACCAGAAAGAAAAAAGCCCTGATTTTTAGATTTGCCAATTTCTGTGGCATAAATACTTACACTAAGGCTGATTTCAAGCTACCAAAGTTTTATGGACTGTATGGTATCCCCTGCCCCCAAATTCTTATGCTGAAGTCCTAACCCTTAGTGTACTATATTTGGAGATGAGGACTTTAAGGAGGTAATTAAGCTTAAATTAGGTTATAAAGGTGGGGGCCTTATCTAATAAGACTGGCATCCTTATAAGAAGAAGAGAAGACACCAGAAGTGCAGGTGCACAAAGAAAAGGCCACATCTGGACAGAGAGAAGGCAGCCAAGAAAAGAGATTTGCCTTAAGGCAACTTTTGGCCCCTTAGATTCCTAGCCTCCAGAGCTGTGATAAAATAGATTTCTGTTGGTCAAGCCATTCAGTCTGTGGCATTTTGTTAGGAAAGCCTGAAAAATTTAATACACAAGTAATATCACTGAATATGAATTAGGGAAAAGATACATAAAATTGACTTTTGTAATGCAGTATGAAATGGTTCCCCCACACCGCTTCATCATATTGCTCTGAACATAAGTGTGATGGCAAAAGTCTTAGAAGTTATCTTGTCCCATGATAATTATGGCCGCACCTCAGGACTGTGGAGTGGTGACTAAAGATAAGCCTGTATCCTGGACAATACTGTGAAGCTGCCAAACCAGCCCTCAGCACCAGCTGGATTTAGTACAGGAAACTGTGGTTACAGCACAAGAGAACATTTACAGGCAGCAAACCACATTTTAAGTCATGTGACTGATTAAATCTTGGGTCAAATGATCAGAAATCAAGTCAAGTGAGCATTTTTTCTAGATTGAAAAGAGACTGGACAAATAGAGGCCTCCTCTTGACATTGATGCATCAATATTCTTCAAAAGGATTCTGAGAGGGGGGAAGCATTCTTAGTATGCTTTCACTTTAGATTTTGATCCCTACATTTTAAGTTGGTATCCAAAAACGTACAGAAAATATGTTTTAAAGGTGATGTGGGATACTGATTGAGATCATTTCTTGCCTTAGAAATCACCAATGGGTACGGGGATTATAGATGAGATAACAGAATTGGAAGCTCTCCTGAGCATAATTCCCCAAGGGTAAAGAAGAACAAACAATTTTGGTATCATTTGTAAAAAGAGATATAAACCTAGGACTAAGTGAAGAGAACGGCAATATGAGGTGTACAATATTTATAAAGAAAGATGGACTCCTCAGTTCACTTATCTGTAGGAAAGAAAAGGAAGTTTTTAAGTGGTTTAACCACACCCCATCCAGAGGCTCAGGGTGGGATATTCCAGAAAAACCATTCCTGTGTTTAAGGGAATTGCTAGAGGGAGAGATTGAAGCTTTGTTCCTCAGTTGGAGGTCTCTCCCTTGTCTCCAAACATCCTATAAGTAAGTACTTGAAAGGTAAGTAGAGAAGTTATTTTATCAGCAAGAAAATTGAGACACAGAATGATCAAGAGACTTGTCTAAAGTTACTCAGTAAATGGCTCCACACAGAATTGTTAGTTATTTCTTTGGCTACATGCAGATTCTGGACCAATCATTAGCCTTTAAGATGCTGGGCATCTCTCTTACTCCATAAGTGGTGTAGAGAAAAAGAAGGCCTATTGTACAGTCAGTGCTTTCCAACTGAACTTCCTGAGATGATGAATATATTCTAATAAATCATTTGAAATATGGTTAGTTCAACTGAGGAAATGAATTTTAAATTTTGTTTAATTATTATAAATTAAAGTTTCAAAAACCAGATGTGGCCGGTGAAGCTACAAAGCGTACTTACCCTAGCTATGGTTTGTCACCCACAAATACATCATGACATCAATTTACTAGGTGTTGACTAGCTTTAAAAAAATGAAAAGAAATGCAATGCAATTCTTAGCTCTCTGATTATCGTGCCCATTGCATGTTCTTGCATATTTTCTATTTTTTCCATTATAGCTTCTTAACATATTAGCCAGAGTTATTCAAAATTTCCTGTCTGATAATTCCAACATCCGTGCCACAGCTAAATCTGGTCTGAAGTTTGCTTTCTTTCTTTAGACTAATGTTGTGTTTTGGCTTTTGGCATGACTTGTAATTTCTTTTTGAAAACCAGACATATTGTGTCAGGGATAAGGAATGAAGCCAGCAGGCATGCAGTGAGAATGTATAGCAATCTGGCTAGGACGTGGGCTCTATTTAATGCTTGCTGTAACTATATGTACCAGAAGCTTCAAATGCGTCCTTCCTCTTGACCTTTGCTTCCCTAAGTGCTCCTCCGCAGTAAAATGATGCATCTTACAAGAGTGTCAAGTGCAATCCATTGCCATTGCACCCAACTTGTTGTGGTGTGCTGGTGGTCAGGCTGGGGGAGGGGATGCATTCTAATCTCATATTAAGTCTCAGTCTCTTAATGGGCCCATGTCTCTTGGTTGTGACCTTTACAAATGTTTTTGCTGTGGCATAGCGTTCCTCTCCCCACCTCCAGGAAGACTAGGGAGGATACAGTGCGATGGATGCCCTTTCCCAGCTGGGATTTAACTCTGGTAAAATGGTTTCTCCTAGAGAGCAGCCTTTGTCATGGGGAACATGCTAGGAGTATTTCACCATGGTTATTCTTCCTCTGACCTGGCAGAGCCTCCTGAAGATTTCAGATATTTCCCTCTGAGAACCTGGTGAGGTTCCTGGAGGTAAATCCCACAAAATTATAGGTGCCTCACAAGACTACAGTCCACACTCAGCCACCAGAATTTCATCAAAATTAGCATTTAAGTGCTTCTACCAGTTTTCCAGCTCTAGGGACTTGTGCTCCAGATAAGCAGACCTTGGATGTCACACTTGATTTACCTTTCTCTCCAAATTTAGGGATGGTGGTCTGCCCCACCACCAGAGTTGTCAATGAACTCAAGAAAAGTCATTTATTTTCAGTTCGTTCAACTTTTTCATGTTTAAGAATGGGAGTGACAACACCCAAATTCTACATGACAGGCTAACACCATAAGTCTAACTATTGCTTTTAAAACCTCTGCTTTAATTATGGATTTATGCATATGCACTGGGTCATGATATAAAATGTAGTTCTTACTAGGGCTCAAAAAATTTTACAAAACAGTGCCATAAGGCAGAGAAAACAAAACTCTGGGGCCATTTCTGCTGAGGCATGTCCTGTCCACATTCCCACACACACTCGAGGCATCAGTCTATAAATTACTACATAGCAGCTAAAATTTCATAAGAAAAATATCTCGTTAATTTACAGAACACACAAGTTGAAAAAAAGACTTGGAGGGGTTTAATTAGCATAACTACTAAACAGCAGTTTGTTTGTTTATTGATTTTTTGCTACAAACTTGCTGTTCAACCACATATTATGAACTAGTATATCTTAGAAAGTATAGACCATTAGCTTTCTGTTTTTCTGAAAAACATTTGAATTTTGACATGCTTTATTATTTGCACTGCTCTTAGCTACTAGCTAAACTAAACATAATTTTTTTTTTAATTCTCATAAAATCTTAATATGAGTAATTTTATTTGACATTTTGGTGTGTTATTTGGGAATTATTATCTAAGTACTTTTTAATTGGCAATATTGATTTTTTTTCTGTAGTGATTTCAGTCTAACTAGATTTAGTTTAAACTCCAAAACTAATTAGTTAAAAATTTCTTCATTAAATCATTTTAAACTGTGGCATAAGGAAATGATGGTCTTTGGGAGAGAAAGGAAAGAGACAGAGTTCTTTCTCATCTCACTTCTGCAGATCCTTGTCCCTGAGAGGAAGCAGTGTCTGAAAGGTTTAGCAATGCTTGGCATAGAGCCTTTCCTTTCTGTGACCGAACTCTCATCTCAGCTGTGCAAGGAAATCCACAGAATGGACGTATTCTTTGCACAACCTAATAGAAAGGGTTTGCATGGACTCGCTTCATAACAGCGACATTAAAAGCTCAGGATGCATTTGACATATACTTTCATTTTAAATATTTTTACATTTCCAAATTCATAGTAAGACTGCATATCTTTTATTGTAAAATATTTTATGAAGTTCATATTTATAAAGTTTTGTAAGGTAATTTTATTCTCTGATTGTAAAACAATAAATTAAAAAGCAAGTAGTCCTATATTATTTTATCAAAACATTTAGATTTTTAATTTAGTACAATTATTGTGGAGTCTGATACTGTTTATCATGCTGCAAGCACAGTTGCATAATGAGACGGTTAGCTTCACAAATTAAATAAGGAAAAGAAGGGGTAATTGTATACGAAAATGTTACCATGATGATAAAATAGTGAAAAAGATTTATGCTTTCCAAAACAACCAAAATATACTCAGGAGCAGGGGGGGAAAAAAGACAGAGAGAGGGAAGGAGAGAGGGAAGGAGGGAGAGAAAGTAAAACACACAAAAAATCAAAGTTCATTAATGCAAATCCAAATATCTGCGAATTCTTTTACAATAAAGCTCCTAATTTTAGTTCCATATTTAATAGCTGGTGTACATTCAAGTGCTCTCTGCTGACACATATAAAAAAAAAGTGATGTTACTGGATGCTGTTTCACAGCATGGAAGGTAATTTCTCATAATTTACACATTCGTACTTTTGCAAATTTGGATTAATAGTAACAACCTTGGGTATGTGAAAGCTAAACACAGGAAACACCTGCAGAACAATATTAGTTTCTATAAGGAAGTGAAACCATTTATCATAAATTTATTGAAAGAAATTCGGGGTGATATTTTATATTTATTAAAGCATGAAAGAATTTCTTACCTAAAGCTTTCATACACCAGACTGTTTTATTCCAGAGGGCTGGCCGTGTTCTAATGCATTTATTATCTGATGTAAATTCAACCTCCACAGTATCACCAATTACTTCATCTCTCAAAATAATAAATATTTCACCAGGATTCTATAAGAAAAATATAACTCAATTAAGCATTTGAAAAAGTTCACATTAACCACTTAACCCATTATGTTCATTAATGATAGAGGTTGCACGTGATCATTAAATGTCTTCTATCATGTCGATATTTTCAACCATATTTAGAAGTGAAATATGTAAATGTGATTCTCACTACATTTTGAGTTTATGGGCTTGGGGTCTATTGAATACTGTTTTTGCCAATGCCATATTTTGCAACTGAACAAATAGTGAGAATACAGCTGCTCCCTTTTCCTCTTGCCTCTTCCCTGTGTGAGGCTCAGCATCTCAGGGTAATAAGCATCACTTCACAAACTTCAATTGGTAAATAAACCCTTTTTTCAAGTCCTTTTCCTCCACCTTTCTAGAATTTGATGTATTTATCTATAAATGAAAGGACTGGACATTTAAATATAATAAATTTTTTTAAATTTAAATATTAATTTTTTTTAAAAGATCAATAGTTTTAAATCTTACCAAATAGAGATTCTCTGGTTATGATGGGTATCTGTGAAGGTCACTGAGTTGACTAAAGGTTATAAATCTAAAACTTTAAAGATTTTTATTAAGGTGGAAAATGTACATAATGTAATAAGGGTTATTGAAAATATTTTGGAATTTTTTTTAAATTAGGGATAAGAAGATTGAAATTAGTACAGAAAAAAGGAAAAAATAAATATTAAGTATTTATTTTACACTAAAAATTATTCTAAGCACATTTATATAAATATTTTTTAAATCTTAGCCAAAACGTACACACACATATACACACATGCAAATAAATGCGCACACCAAAACTAAAATGGAAGACTTGCATTTCCCCTTTCTGAACACAGTAACTAATACACAGAGTTACACCTGAAGATGAGTCAGAACTACTTAAGTCAAAATCTACATTCTTCTTTACATCATGTTGCTTAACCCTTCAAAACAACTAAAACAAAATACTATTTTTATGATTATCTCCGATATCTCCCTTCAAAGGCTTTCTTCAAAGTCAAACTAAATTTAAGTTCCTCACAAAATAAACAGGAGCCTCATTTATATGCTCTTATAAAATTGTGATTACCCAAAAATCATTAATTTCAAAGTTCTCTTATTTAAATGTTGTCTCCCTAAGCAAAAATCAACCACCAACAAAGCTTACATCTTTAATGCTCTGTACCTAAGTTCCTACAAATTCACTGATGTTACGAAATCATTTCAGCTGACACACATCCACTTTGAGAGTTTTCCACCAGGGTCTAGTGTTTGCAAATATTTGTCCACAGGGTATTTTGATCTAAATTTCATCTTACCAATTAAATTGCATATCAAGGAAATATACCATATCAAGGGAACTATCACTATGCTCCCTCTCACTTTTGCTCCACACATTCAACATGTCATACCCACGACAGCAGAGCAGGGGTTAGGTTATGGCAATGGTTCCAAATTGGTATGCTAACTCTCACTCTCAGAATCAGGTGGGAAGATTCTAAAACTCCCACTGTCCAGTCCATAACCCAGACCATTTATACCTGAGACACTGGGTATAGAATTTCAGTATTATTATTATTTTTTAACCTCCCACTAATATTCCTTATATGCATCTAATTTTTAGAACCACTTGGTTAAAGGGAAAATACATCTACTGGTCATTGTAAAACCTTACCGCCCAAGGGGCAGCACTTCACATCACAGATATTTTTGGCATTGCTACTTTTACCATATATATATATTTTTTCAATTAGATCAGAAGACCAGACTTTAGGTTAAGGATGGTTACCAACAACTAGAGAGTGATTTGGCATCAGAAATAAGTGGGTGGTGCTGCTAGTTTCTGTATATTGTTTTACTCTGCAATCAGGGCCAAGGGATAAATGGTAGGAGGTAACCTCTGAGATTCTTGTGGCTTGCCCACGGGCCCATACAAGTCACGCCCACTCATATAGTCTCAGGATTTCTCTGGATTTGTAAATTACATAATCTGTGGTCTGTACTATAGGTTTGGAGACTTACATTATGGTTGCAGATACAGAGGTATATGAATAAACAGGTCAAAGAAAATTAAGGTCTTTATTAGGGAATATGCCATGTTCTAGGATTCAGATAGAAAGGCAGTTTAGTGAAATTAATACAGATCTAAATGCTGATAAAGCCAATTAAAGGGCCTTTAGCTGTTATACTATAACTTTAAGAATTAAATTTACTCAAGAAATCAAGTGACTGAACTAGTTTTAAAAATATGCTTCAGTCTTATCATCAGAACAGCAGTACTGGGAGTATAACATAAAAATAAAGGAATATCAGTTAATTATACTAAAGGGAGTAAGAGATTTGAAGGGGATAAAAGCTAAGACTGCAGCAAACGGATTCTACCAAGAGGAAGGGAAAGCAATAAATCAAAGGCTTGCCTACAGAGATAAAACCAGATGAAGAAAATAAGCTCACTCTTAACTGCTCTTTAGGATGGTGCTACCGAGGAAGAAAATATAGAAGCCAGGACTGAGCCTGTGATGGGGGCTCAGAGAAATAACAGGGGAGGCAGAGGCGGTGAGAGAGTAAACTACAGTACCGAGCAGATCTTCAAGGCAATCTTTAGAGGCGCCCTCTTAAAGCTTCAGGTGTAACCCATAAAAAGAGTAACTGGAAGGCAGCTATGCTCACCACTGTACCACCGATGCACACACAAGAGGGGGTCCCCCCGCATCTGGTATGGACCAGTATCTCTTTGTCAAGCACACCCTGGGAGACAGTGATGAGACCTGAGCCTCAGGCTACCTTCCCATAGCCCCAGGGTGACTTCCCTGGTCACCAAAGCACTACATGCATGCTGGGCTTACCTTCACCTCTTTTGTAAGTTGTACCAAATCATCTACTTATGTTCTTCCATTTGTATCATTCTTTCAAATAGAGAAATTTGATACCCACATCCCCATGTCCCCTCCCCCCCCAAAAAAGAGTGATGGGAATCACTGCTTATAGATTACACAGCTTCAGCAAGTGATTGGGGACAACTGGGTAGATTGATGAGAAGTCACTGAAGGGGAGCATTGAATTCTTGATGCCATTATTAGCTAATCTGAAGGCAATTAGTACTGTAAGGGGCATGAATGTATTTCCTATCTTCTGAGAAAGGATTTAACCTGGGTACTATTTTCATTTTTGGGCCAGAGAAGTCACTGCTGTGGGGACTGCCCTGTACATTATAAAATATTTAGCAGTATCCCTGGCTTCTACCCACTAGATGCCTGTAGCAACCCCCCAGTTATGACAACCAAAACTCTGCATACTTGGTCAAATGTCTTCTGGGGGAGGGGGGCAAGATCACTCCCAGGTGAAAACATTGCTCTAAGGGAATTTGCCAGAAAATTAATGAAATTAAAACTTTAACACAGCACAGGGAAGATAAACTAGCAAATAATAAACCAGGTCCAGTTCTGGATTAGGTGCTGTTCCAATGGGAGAATGCTTCCCAGGTAGAATTTTCATCATGGATATAAAATTGGATAAGATTCATTTGAAAAATGGATGCTTTGGGCAGAATGAACTCATTGACTTCATACCTCTCATAATCAATTGCTTGACAAGACAAAATCAAGAGAAATATGCTAGAAAAATAAATGCCCTGGCCCATAAAAAGATTTTAAAATATTAAAATAGCTAAAGAACATATACATGGACACAGACAATGGTGTGATGAACGCTAAGGGAGAGGGAGGCAGGGGTGAGTGGAGGGGGGCAAAGGTGGTGGAAATGGGGAAATTTGCAATAGTGTGAAATTCAAAATTTTAAATAAAAAAAAGATTTAAAAAAATAGAAATATCAAAATAGGACAAGGAATGTTAATCCTAAAAAAAAATAAAAAAAACAAACCAAAATTAAGTAACAAATTTAACTGGTTAAAATTCGTCTAGGTATTTCTCAAAAAGGTAGGGAATCGCTCACATAGATAGAGCACTAGAGGCATATCTTCACCAGTGCATGGAAAAAAAATTATTTCCTGCTGTTTTTAAAGTGGCACAAGATTTTCAAGGCCCAGGCAATAGAACAATCCATGGGAAGAAACAATGCTGGGGAAGATGACAAGGACCAATACTCCCAGGCTCCTGGGCTCAGCAGCAACACAGCTGCCTCAGTTAAATAATCCACTCAAGCTGAGCTCCAGAACAGAGGAGGGAACAGGGAGAGCACTACCCTAGGAGGCAGGTCCCCAGGCCCAGGCAGCTCCACAGCAAGAAGCAGCAGACTGACAGATTCAAACTAAGTTCCTGTTTATCAGAAAGATAAAGATTATGTCACTAGATAGAACCATAGTCAACTCAGCTTGGGCATGCTGAGTTGGAGAAATGAGTAGATTTTGAAGATGCTGGGTGTGAAAGAGGCACATCTCAAATAAGATCTGGTGGGTGGCAATCATTGTGTTGTAAATTTCTTGATTTTGGAAGATGGCAAGAGGATCAAATATCACCCCCTGGGAGAGGAGCCTGAATTTTTAAGGGGCCTCTATTCACCCACTAATTGGAAGACTTCTCAGAAATGAGTAAGTTCAAAGGTTGTGCTTTCAGATAATAGGCACAGACTGAATGTCTTCCTGGCAAATCTGAAACATGATTTTCACTCATTTGGATACCAATGATCTCTCCTGTGGCTCTTGGCAATTGTCATGTGGATTCAGATTGTACTAAGATTGAGGTTGTGGGAACACAAGATTTTGACTGGGGTAACTATTTTTGGTCCAGGGGTTAACTTATTTTGAATGTTTAGGGTGTGGGGCTGGTACTAAAATATTCTTTCATGACCTTTCAACTCTTAGTGTTGCTTATAAAGTGGACTATCCAAGAGAAATCTGAAAATGAAATAATTTAACTTCAGAGTGTCTGGAAGAATTATTTCCATGTCAATTAAAAACAGCCCATGATTCTGCCATGGAAAGAACCCTGATCCTAACCAGCTACCTCTGCCTGGAGGCAGTGAGGTTTCATTTTTGAATTTTAATTTCTTTGCAAATTTAACATTGGAAAGGTTTTATATTATTCAAGTTTTACTGTTACAGATATTTTTAAAAGCAGCTTTTTAGACTCATTGCATAATTCTTGGTGAGCTATTTTTAGTTCAAGAGGATTTTTTTTTCTTTTTCAGCTTGGATTTTATCTACTTGAGAACAGTTCTCATTTCTCTTTTATTATAATCTCCTCTATTTATCGCTGTCTCTTCCATTTCTGACTCAATAGAAGCCACCAGTTCTGATTGTTTAGTCTGAGTTTTCTCCCTAGAGTTCTCGTGTATTTTAAGTGTTACAATTTTTTCCTTGCCTGATTATCTGTGCCAGTTACCTTGAACCTGTACAGTTCAGGTTCCTGGGGTCTCTAAGGAAGCATCAGAGAAGTTTTTGTTCCTCTGGAAATGATAGCATAATAGTTTAAAAATTCGATTCTCCTGCTTAGGCATGGAGCCTGGGGGTGAGGGAATAAACTTTGCTCAACTGCACAGAATGTGCAGCTTCCCCCAGTACTGCTGGTCCCAGCAGAATCAGCAGAGTCTCTGCCAGCACACACCTCCCAGCAAGCAGACAATGCAGCCTCAGTCATCCACTGGCTTCTACCGGAAAGACCCTTGCATGCAACTCCCATGGCTTTCTTGTGTCTTCGGCCCCTTCCACTCAAAGATGGACACTGAGAACCAGCGTTATTTTATTGTCTAGAGAGATAGCCTGAGATTCGAGTCAAGCTCTACCAGGAGGCTCATTTCAGTTGTTCATTCCAAGGAAGACAAGAGAAAAAATGTGAGCAATATGTATTCATAGAGTCACCTTCAGAAATCCCCCTCCCCCTCTATTATACTTTTATTCCCAAAAGGTCCAGCTTTTCTAGATTCTATGATATTTCCCCTTGCTAATATAGGCCTTTGATACATATTTTATAATTGAAATATTGCTCATCCTGAAAAATAAGTATTTTCAAATTCTCATAAAGAATATGTTTCCCTTTATGAAAATAAAATAATTGATCTGGTTAATACAAACCGAAAGTTCTTTTTTAAGTAGCTTGATATATGTAGCTATCGTAAATCTGTTTGCAACGCATCAAGTAACAGCTGATAAAATTAAGCTTTCACTTATTCTCCAATAGTCAGTTATTCAACAAATATGTATCAAATGCCTACTAATTTTCAGACATGGTTTTGGGTTCTGAGGACACAGCCATGAACAGAGTAACAAAAACACCAGTCATTTGGAGCTTACATTTTATTGAAATGCAATATTCATTAAAACAATAGGGCCACTTAAATATTAAGGCACCTTTTTACTGACCTCACAGGGCACTTCAGTGGGAAGCACCAGCGCCAGTGGCCCACTGCTTCCTGAAACTTGGGTGAATTCTTCAGTTCGCTTTCTCTCACTCACTTCCCCAGAAGGTTCCACTCTTAAGTCTGTTGGAATAGTGACCTCAAGGTAGTCATTAGAACCTAGAAAAAAGTGCACGAATGTAGATTATAATATAACAAAGGCCATTTTATTTCCTCCACTGTTATAAAGACTAAGTGCTATGCCCTAGCTGGTTTTGCTCAGTGGTTAGAGCATTGGCCCATGGGTTAAAGGGTCCTGGGTTTGCTTCCAGCTGAGGCGATGTACATACCTCTATTGCAGGCTCGATCCCCAGCCCTGGTCAGGTGAGTGTGGGAGGCAAACAGTCAATGTGTCTCTCTCAGATCGATGTTTCTCTCTCTCTCTCCCACTCTCTCTGAAGAGCAATGGAAAAAAATATTCTTGGATGAAGATTAAAAAAAATTAAAGACTAAGTGCTGGGCAATCAATTTAATTAATATATGGAACAAACAAGCTGAGTTTAAGAACCAATGTTAATAATTAAAATAATGCTCCACAACTTATCTAGTGTTATAACTTTAGTGACTAAACTAAAGCAACTACATAATATGTCATCATTAGCTAAATATTTTCCCCCAAAAAATACAACCACAATTTAATATTTTCTCTTACTAGTAAAACAGCAAATCTGAAAAACATGTAACTATATTTTCAATAAGTAATTAAAAATTTTTATTTCATTTTAACTTGGATTTACTTTTTATATACACTTCTAGTTTTTAAAAACAAAAAGTTTTACTAGGAGACACTAAGTAAACTAGTAGAAACACTGGTTTACTGGTGGAATATTAGTGTTCATCAAAATGTGTTTTTTTTTTAATTTTTTTTTATATTTTATTATTTATTTATTTATTTTCAAAATGTAATGTGTTCTGTGAAAAAAAAGTCTTCTATATTAAATAAATTGGGTTTCTTTATGGCAGTTTTTCTAAGAATACTGAAATATGCGAATGTGAATTCTGAATCTCAAAGAGGGAAAAGCAGTATTTTATTTTTTAAAATTTTAACATTTAGTAATTGAGCATTTGGTGTCAATCATTAAAACATTTTTGAAGACAAATGTGTTGTGTTAAAAGAGATAATAATGTTGCTGTTACTCAGTGTTTCAAAGCCCAAAGCATTTCATTAGGTCCCAAAAGAAATGTGGCTGAAACCAAGGCTCTCACAACTAGACTACATCTACAAAGTCTTAGTCCAACCTCAAAAATAGTACTCAAATTCCAAAAAAAGAGGAATTGGAAAAAAGTGGAAAGAAGACCCTGACAGTTAGAAACTGGCCAGATACTGTGCAAAGGCTTTGGTGTTGTTAAGAGCAATGCCAACATCGGACAAGGCCACTCTGTCACCATGATGGACTAAGCTAGAGAAGAGACCACTTCCTAATCATGTCTGAATCCAGGCAAAAGCATGAACATTGACCAAACCACAAACATGACCAATTATTCCAAGTCCTGGCTCCTGGGAGTGATGTTGCTTCTCCACCAATCCCAGCCTAAGCCTCTTTTCATTTCTCTTGCCTTCTGGATAGGGTAACCAACTCCTCTCAGTTGACCTGGAATTTTCCTGGTTTGGGCACTAAAAATTCTGTGTCCCAGGAACCCCCTCAGACTCAAGCATACTGGGATAGTGGGTCACCCTGCTTCTTGATGAGAGTTATGATTGTACCAACTCATAAAATTACACCTGTTTTTTGACACAAGCAAGTGACAGTTATGCTTCCTTGAACCCTCCCTTAAGTCACTTAAAACAAGCTTAAATCCTACAAGTCTTTTCTAACACCCTCTTACTGAGACACCCTATGGTTCTCCATGGTGCCCCCTAATAATTACAAATAGCAAAAAATCCAAATAGTCCAAGTACAGGTGTCTTCCTAGTGATCTTTGGCTAAAGGATGCTGACAGGAGGAAAAGGAAGAGCCAAAGGCAATACAGATGGAAGTAGCTATAAGTTACTCTCATTGTATCCAAGAAAAATGAAGTAAACAGTTTAATATAGGGAATTCTATCAGGAAAGCAGAGTAACGAATGAGATGCCCTCTAGAGAGAAGCTGTCTGTCCCTAAGCTATATCTAAGAAGGAGAGTGCGTGCTTTTTTCTGCCTTATGAAAGTTGCAGAATAAAGGCACAAAAGCCCCTGGGATTTGTAGATTTCTCCTAGTACTAGTCTTGCTTGAAATGAAATGAAAAAAAAAGCCTCTACTTCTCTAATGATTTAAAACACTTTCATAAAATGTCTCATTTTCTCTCTCTCTCTGTGTCTTTCACACACACACACACACACACACACACACACACACACACACACATACACACATCAAAACAATAAAAAAATTATATAAAACTGGCTCAATCACTTTGTGAATTGATAAAAGAACAAAGAAACTGATTGTATTTCACACACATTCAAAGAAGGATGTGTAAATTATTCCACCACAGAAGTATGTAGGATGTTTTCTGATAATGTCTCTGTATTATTAGGTTAAGAAGAGCTATTTTTTTTTTACCCTGAGGACATAACTATGGATGTACAAAATGATTTATCCCTATGAACGTTCACAGAAGCACAGTTTATAATGCAGAAAATTGGAAGCAGTCTGAGCAATAAGGGACCAGATAAAAATATGTAATGTCACTAATAAAAATTCCACCAAAAAATATTTAACAAGGAACAAGTTTATAATATAATTTTAAAAATTCAAGGTACAAAATTGTCAATTTAGTAGGTTCCCATTTTAGCTTAAAAAAAAAAAGAATCTCTGGTTTCAGATTTCACATGTAAGGAGCTTTTGAAGTCACCACTCATCCTAACAAAGGGAAAGCTGATAATTTAAGAAAGGGGCAGACACAGCAGAATTGCTGACCCTAAGGCTGAAGAGACAGGCAGGCAAATACAGGCAGTTTCAGCTTAACAGACCAGAGGCTCTGGGGTGGAAACCACCCAAGAACCAGTGCCAGGGGAGGGAAACTGAACTGTAATCGACAAGTTCCTGGATGCTCGATCTGGACAAGCTGAGAGTTAAAAGCTCCAGGGGAATCCAGCAAAAGTGGGGAAGCAAAGATAGCAACACATTATTTTGAGATTTATCTCCTCCAGGAGCTTAACCAGATTCCCACAGTAAATACTGGAGAAAATTCCCCTCCTGCTTCTAGGGAAAAGGGACCATTTTGTAGTACCCCAGATACTTCTTAACGTGACCTGCCCTAGAGGGAAACTAGTTAACCAGAACCTAAATTACTGGGGTATTATGGGAGTCTAACTGACCTGAGGAAGAGAAATACCCACCTGCAGCTCACTGTAGCCATTCAGTACCAACTAAGGTGCAGAAAAAAACAGAAAGGCTTGTGAGGCTTACAAATCCAAAGGCACAGGTTCATTAAACAATTGAGACCTAATCATAGGCTTAGAGAGAGTTTCCCCTCCTCCTACACCTCACTACCACATTACTAAAAACCAATTTACAGCAGTTCCTTTTGCCCCCAGCATATAATTTTCTGGCGATTGAGACAAACTATAATGTATATTGAAATGCAAAAAACAATATGAAGAGACAGAGTAAGCATTAGAACCAGACATGGCAGGGATGTTGTAATTATCAGATTGGGAATTTAAAACTATTTAATATGCTAAGCATTCTAATAAAGTAGACAACATGCAAAACAGATTGGCAGTGTAAACAGAGAGATGGAAATCCTAAGAAAGAATTAAAAGGGAATTCTAGAGATCAAAAACACTAATAGAAATGAAAAATGCCTGGATGGGTTCATTAGTAGATTGAGCACAACTGAGGAAAGAATCTCCAAGATAGAGAATACCTCCAAAGAATTTTAGAGAACTGAAAAGCAAACAGAATGGAGACTGAAAAAAAAGCATGATGGAATATCCAAGGACTGTGAGAAACCTATAAATGGTGAAATGTGTAATGGGAATATCAGAAGGAGCAGAAAGAGACAAACAGAAGAATTATTTCAAACATTACTGACTTCAAATTTTCCCAAATTAATATCTGACACCAAATCACAGATCCAGGAAACTCAGATAATATCAAGTAGGATTAATCCCCCAAAAGTCAAGGAAGGAATAACATCTTGAAATGGCAGAAAATCAAAGATTTTTTTAAAATTCTGAAAAAAGCTAGAGAAAAACAAACAAAAACCAACCCTTACCCATAGAACAAAGATAAGAATTATATATGACTTCTCAGAAACCATGCAAGCAAGAAGAGAGTGAAGTTAAATATTTAAGGTGTAAAAACAATCTACCTCCAACCTAGAATTCTGTACTGTGTGAAATTATTCTTTAAAAGTGAAGGAGAAATGAAGACTTCTCACACAAACCAATATTGAGATAATTTCTTGTCAATAGACAACACATAAAATGGATTAATTCCATGAAAGACTCAAGTTGCCAAAACTCACACAAGAAGAAATAGTGTGAATAGGCTTACAACCTATTTCTACTAAATAAATTGAATCAATAATTAATAGCCTTCCAAAAACAGAAAGTACCACGCCCAGATGGGTTCACTGGCAAATTCTAATAAACATTTAAGGAAAATTTATACCACTTCTCTGTAGTCTTTTTCAGAAAACAGAAGCAGAAGTAATACTTCCAAATTCATTCTATGAGAGCATCACTACCCTAATACCAAAACCAGGCAAAGACATTACAAGAAGACTATAGACAATATCTCTCATGAACATAGATATAAACTTCTCAACAAGATATCAGTAAATCAAATAAATACAAGACAAATAAAAGGAATTATGCACCGTGACCAAGTGGGATTTATCACAGTTATGCAAGGTTTATGATTCACTAAGAAATCTGCTACCTTAATTTATCACATTAACAGATTTAAAAAGAAAAACTTCACATGATCATATCAATAGATGCAGAGTAGCATTTGAAAAAATCCCATACCAAGTCATAATAAAAACTCAGTAAATTCAGAATAGAGGAAAACTTTCTCAACTTGATAAAGATTATCTACAAAAAAACCCCTACAGCTAACATCATTCTTAATGGGAGAGATTTGAAGCTTTCCCACAAAGATCATGCACAAGGCAAAGATGTCCCCACT